TTTTTTTTTTTTTTTTGGAGATTATTAAATGCCATAAATGTCTGGAGATGATAAGCCCCTATGTCCTTGGACTATTCTGTAAGTTTCTGTGTCTCCCCATTATGTGTGTGGGGTCTTGGAAGCACCCAGGACTTCTCTCTGATCTAAGACTTCTTTTTCATCTCTGTTTATCCAAATTGCTCTCCTATCCAGCAGGGGACACACTGCTCTTTGGATGGAGGCTAGCTCCCGGCCCCTTTTTGTTGGTGATGTCTGTTGATTCAGTGATGGTGTGTGAAAACCACTTTATGACTTTGATATCTCTATTAGTTGTAGTGTTCCCAAGCAGTTAATAGTGGCTGATAACAAACAGCACCTGCCATCTGCCCCTTTCCCTGAGATCTCAGACCAGCCCTGGGTGTTGGTTAATGAACTGGGATCACCTGAACTTCATCCCTCTCTGTAGTGATGGCGCCTTGGCTTGTCACTCAGTGTTTTGTGCCAAATAACAGGGCTCTGATCACCTTAGTTTTATTTTATATTTACTATCACTATAAGTTAAAAAATCTAAGAAACAACACCAAAGGATGGGAAGTAACCAAGAAAAGATCCTATTACTTTTTAAAAACCAATTTAACTGGAGGCATTATTTACACATAATAAAATGCACACATATTAAGTGAGAAAAAAATAGGAAGGACAGAGTCTTAGAAGACAGAACAGTCATTAAAACCGAACAGATTTAGTTTTTGAAAAATTTATACATCTCCTTTATTTTTCTGTTTACCCTGGGTTGGTGAAAATGTCATCAGGGCTGGTCTGCAAGTGCAATTTGGGAGCCACCATTGTAGGAGTGGCTGAGAAAGAGGAACTTTACTCAAAACAGTGTAGGGGAGGAAAAATAATTTTCCCTCTACTCTTCTATGTTCTTCACTGACACCCCCAAGTATCACCATAATAAAATATATTAATAGGTGAAAGAAAATTTTAATTACATATGTGCACATGGGAGTCCCACAAGATGAGGCTCAAAGGCAGCCCAGATGACTGAAGCTAATATACCCTCCTGAGCTAAGGGTGGGGCTGGGGAGCTGGGGCTGCAGATCAGGGGAAGGCAGTTCATGGCAGGGTGAGAAGAGGAAATATTTGGTAAACAATAGCTTCCCTGCCATGTAGGTAAGTCTCTCAGATGAAAAGGTCCTCTCTGCTAATAGCTCTATTCCTGGTGCAGGCCACCTTTCTAATGTAAATTTCCCTTACAGACCAATAAATAATGCTCAGTTTTCAGAGCTTCTCCTATGTCTGCAGTTTCTCAAAAATAATAAATATGCGAAAGAGGCATTTTTGGGGGTGGCAAATTCTGCTGCCCTCTGAGAAAGAAAATGTAGAACTAACCCCGAGGAGCCCTTGCTGGGGGCCCAGGAAGTGACAGATGAGATCACCAGCTGAGGCACAGGTGGCTGTGGGGTGGGGAGGAGGACCATTCTTGTGTATTCATTTATTCACTCATCACCTCTTACCAGTCTACTTTTTTTTAAACCTGTTTAGCCTATCAGCTTATCACCGTGGTGATTGCAGCAGCAGGAGGTGGGCTTCTGCTGATCCTCGGCATCGCACTGATTGTCACCTGTTGCCGGTGAGTGATGGAGTTCACATTCTAATTCTGTTTCTCTGTGTGTGCTATGCAAGGGCCAATTTTTACTCTTAAGGGATGTTTGGGGTGGTTTACAACATTAAATCATAATGTATGACTGAACCATTAAAGAAGGGAGAAAAGGAGATTCTTGATAGGTAGTGCCATTGGAGGAGAGAAAAAGACAGTTATTTTCTTTACTAACAAGGAATATCCAGAAGCACAAGCAACAAAAAGGATAGACTGGACTGCATCTAAATTAAAAACTTTTCTGCTATGTAGGGAAGAAAAAAATTTTCTCTACCCTTCTAGGTTCTTTGAGTGATCTAATAATCAAATTAATGTAAGACAGATTAATGGGAGAAAAAGAAATTTAATTATGTATGTCGGGGGTGGGTGGTGGCACATAAGAATATGAGACCCACAGTTAGTCAGGCATTTGAGGCTTATATACTATCCTGAACTATGAGAAAGGGGTAGGGATCTGTGACTTCAAAGGGGAGGAAAGTGATTTACAGGAAGATGGAAAGAGCAAATGTTTCATCAATCAGCTTTAGCCATGCCATGCAGAGAAAATGGGATGCAGAGACAATGGGACACAGAGAGGACTTTGAACAAACAGGCCCTGCTGAGCTCCCCCACAGCTTGCCACACCTAGCCCATACTCTGTAGTTACCTCTGGTGATGGCTCTCTTTCTGGACCAAGCCCTCTATCTAAATTCTTTTAGGCAGCTAAAGTGAGTCTTTCTGGCCTTGATTGTCTTCAGCTCAAAATTGTCTGCATGTGAAAGTGGCACATTCTGGGGAGACTTGTTCTGAACCCCTTCAGCTTCAAAGATTACTATCAAGAAAGGGAAAAGACAGCCCACAGAATGGGAGAAAGTATTTGCAAATGAATCATATGTCTAATAAGGGATTTGTATCTAGAATATGTAAAGAATTCTTACAAGTCAATAATAAAAAGACAATTCAATTTAAAAATGGGCAAAGAACTTGAAAAGACATTTCTCCAAAGAAGATACACAAATGTCCAGTAGGCACATGAAAAGATGCTCAACATCATTAGCCATCAGGGAAATGCAATCAAAATCATCATGAAATACTACCTTATACCCACTAGGATGGCTATTTTAAAAAAAAAAAAAAAAA